GATGAGTTGACAAACTCATAGCCCGTAGACCTTAACAGCGTAAATGCCGCCACCCACCTTGATTCATGAGTTTTAAGTCACAGTTCTAATACTATATCTGCCCCACTTTTCAAACTGCAACGCATTACTGCTATGCAGCATAAATATGCGAAGTCGTGGTACCTACCCGCGTGGTCTCGATAATTACGCAAAGTAACATTTTTGCAGCTTTGTTTCTTAATTCGAGAACATTACGGATTATTAATTCGCGAACATTACGTACGTATTTCATTAGAAAAATTGATACCTGCCTGCGGAATTCGAACATAGGCACAATCGAATCTCTAGACACGAATCTAAGGTGCATCTTTTTTTTTTATTGCCTTTGTAGGCAGACGGGCGTACGCCCCACCTGATGGTAAGTGGTTACCGTCGCCCATGGACTTCAGCAATGCCAGGGGCAGAGCCAAGCCGCTACATACCGCTTAATACTCTCCACAAGCCTCGTTTGAAGAAGGACATGTCATAGCGCTCGGGAAACACCGTGGAGGGGAGCTCATTCCATAGCCGGATGGTACGTGGCAAAAAAGACCTCTGGAAACGCACTGTGGATGACCGCAGTGGCTCCAGGTAGTATAGATGAACTCTACTCCGGTGGCGGGCGGTGCGATGGTAAAATCTTATTCGTTAGGGCCGTGACGATTTAAATGTCCAGTTTTTTTATTAATCGTCTGAGCCAATAAACAAATCCGAACTCAGCGTTTAGTCGCCAGAACCTTTTCCTAGATAAAGTTAATTAGACTAGGCTTTAATTATTGTTACAACATCTTAGATTAATGCTAATGATAACACGCAGAACTAAATCGTACGGACAATTCTCATACACGAGCACCACCGCTATAATTATAATCAAGAATAATATTAAAATGGAATTAGCGTATTTGATCGTTATATCATGCAGCAGATTATCTTTTCGTAAATAAGTTTAAAACACTGGCAAATGTTACTTTCGATCTGTGAATGATTTGAAGAAAAATACTAACATGTATGCATGTGCGGGGCACATCTAGTTATTTATTTTGTTTATTATACTGAACGGTGATGATTCCATCTGATTTTTATTGCTTTTCGGAGCCCATGGATATCATAAAGTTAATGCCGCCACCCACCTTGAGACATGAGGTCGAAGCCTCAATAGTATTGAGCGAGAGACAGCTGCGCGACAACAACGGTGAATCTGGAAGTACCCACCAGTGTGGACTCACAATATCGGACGTACAATCAGTTGATACGCACACACAATTATGTATATAACCTTATCAATCTTTAAGATTGAAATCAAAAACTTTCACAATAAGGAAAGCTGGCAACACTTAAAATACGTCGACACGCGTCTACAAATTGGCGCCGAGTTACTTTTTTGCCCTGAACATAAACAAATAGCTAACTAAGACATCGGGACACTGATGTTTATGGCTCTCGCGTTGCTGCACTATTTATTGTGGCCTGGCAATATACGTTGTTTTCCCTTTGTGAAACGTATACATTGAAAGGTGTTATTAATTATCTATATATTAATACGTGAAGCAAAAACTTTGTATCCCTTTTTACGAAAATTGCGCGGACTGAGGAGTATGAAATTTTCCACACTTATAGAGAATATAGAGAAGAAGTGCACAAAGCTAATATTTTTTTTAAAATAATGCATAAAAGATACATAAAATCAATAAAGAAAACATTACACACACTACATACCATGTATTTGACGCAACACGCATGCATACTATTTATTGTGAAACTTTTGTTCTTGACGTCTATTGTCAAATTGAGAATAGATTAAATATTGTTTGTCTTTGTTAATATTTTTTATAGTGTAGTCTTGGCGAAATTTGTGATTATAGAAGTATAAAATACAATCATAATAGAGTACAAACTTACAATTCCAATTAATTATAGTCGAATTTCGACTACTGCGGGACCTCTAGTTATGATGATTAAACCAAATTTAAATGCATTCTCATCGTTTCGTTTGTGTTCGTTGCTATAGCTTATTAGCGCGGCTTAGCTAAATCACGGGTCATTTAGTGCTTAAGAAATTCAGGCAGATGACCCCACGACGTGAATACAGTTATCCCTTAAGATACGAGATCGAAGTATATACAATATCACTTCAGTATGGTAATAATAATGATCATATATTTAGAACGGGACTGCGCGAGTGTTTCGCTGCGAAAATTGGTGGTACTTACCCGCACATGTTCACTGGTGGTAGGAGCTGTTGTAAGTCCGCGCGGGTAGGTACCACCGCCCTTGCCTATTTCTGCCGTGAAGCAGTAATGCGTTTCGGTTTGAAGGGTGGAGCAGCCGTTGTAACTATACTGAGACCTTACAACTTATATCTCAAGGTGGGTGGCGCATTTACGTTGTAGATGTCTATGGGCTCCAGTAACCACTTAACATCAGGTGGGCTGTGAGCTCGTCCACCCATCTAAGCAATAAAAAATAAAATGTGCACAATACCACTTCTGTCAGTGATGTGGTCGTAACTCGGTTTAATGGGATTTTTCATCCTCTACTTGCCCTTATTCCGCATTATGTAGGGTAGGTGCAGCATATCCCTTTATCGTGCTATAGGTATTTTAAAGTCAACCCTCCTTGAACTATATCTACATATTATTATATCCATTGCCACGGGCCATAGGGAAAGACCTTTCCTTCATCTTTTGGTGTTTCTTTGACTTTATCCGTTTTTGATTCTTTGATTTGCATTTTATTATTAAAAACATTTACAGTAAAATTTAGATTTTAAATTACCAAAATGATAAAATAATTAAAATAGGTAATTATTTCCGATGAAGTTGCCGTTTTACAATACTATTTTAAACATAATTTATGTATGTCACATTTGAATTTTATTGGAAAATATGGTATCTATTTTCAAATTCAGTCATTGATTTATTTATTAGTATTTTTATCTTACTACATTTTTTATCAACATGGCCACGATGAAAATTGAAATAATTATGGAATACGATTTCCGTCGCGGTAGCAATGGCGGACAAACGGCCCAGAATGACTTTCTGCATAATAAATAGCAATTTCTTAAACTATATATGTACGAATAGTTAATAGGGATATTTCACGTCCGGCACAAAAAATTAACATCAAGAAATTGTTGAGCTATAATTGAAGTAATTCAAGATAAATAAGCATTTTCAATTCCCTTCAGTCATTCACTTATATATTGAACTCAGGCACTTAATACAAGCGTATAAATTAACCTTATTTATCGGAGTACATGCTGAATAGCACACGAAATTCACTGTAATAGGCGACAGTCCAACAAATGCTCGTTCAATTTGCGCGTGAACAAAATAATGTATTGTGTTGTTAGTCACTAAATAGACTTTAGGTTAGCTGTTAACATGAATATAAAGATTAAAGAACAATAAATTCGAGCGCGAAACCGAATAGTGTTTATTGTTTAATTAAAGTCTCCTAGACTGTTTAGTGACAAGGCATTTTACCGGAATAAATATTACAATTTATTTAAATCATCATCATCATCATCAGCCTTTATCTGCCCACTGCTGGACATAGGCCTTCCCCAATGCCTTCCACATAATGCGGTCCACCGCCCTCCGCATCCAACGACTTCCCGCCGTGCGCACTAAGTCGTCAGTCCACCTGGTTGGAGGACGCCCCACACTCCTTGTACCCATCCGTGGCCTCCATTCGAGGACTTTCCTCCCCCACCTGGCGTCGCTGACTCGACAGATGTGACCGGCCCATTGCCACTTCAGCCTGCTAGCTTTGAGAGCTATGTCGTCGACTTTGGTTCTCTAAATTATTTGGTTATTTAAATGAGTTGAAATTATTTTAATTGGATAATTCTGCCGCGAAGCAGTAGTACGTTACTGGATGAAGACAGCGGTTTTCCTAAAAGGTTGAGACTTGGAACTGATGTCTTAAAGTGGGTGGCGACTTTTACGCTGTTGACGTATATAGGTTCCGGTAAATAATTGTGGGCTGGTTGGCATGAGTTCTAAGTCTCAATTTTTATACTACAACGACCGCCTTACACTTCAAACGGAAACGCATTGCTGTTTTACGGCAGAACTAGGAAGAGTAGTGGTACTTACAAATGCTTTTTTTTATTGCATAGTTGGGTGGATGAGCTCACAGCCCACTTGGTGTGAAGTTGTTACGGAACCCATAGACATCTACAACGTAAATGCTGCCACCCACCTTGAGATATGAGTTCTAAAGTCTCAGTATAGTTACAACGGCTGCGCCGCTCTTCAAACCGAAACGCATTACTGCTTTACTTCAGAACTAGGGAGAGTAGTGGTACTTACACATGCGGGCTCACATCACGCCCTACCACCGGTGACTATGCAAACTATTGTAGGAATATACGACAAAGGGAAGATCTTCCACCGAGCGGGTGATATTTGCTCGGTAGACCGACGGTCCGAATGTTGTTGTTCGGAACTTGTATATATGCGCTTTATTTTGAAAATGTCGTAAGCGAGATTCAGGCATCTGTCAATTATCTTGCGTTGTATGATGGCTACCCGCCACATCACTCCCCTCCGAGACTGGAGGTCGTGTCATTTTTAATTAGCGTTGTCCCTGCTGAGATTAGCTTGCAAGGGCCAGTGCTGCTCGAAGCCTGCGGTGAGTCGAGGCTGAGCTTGAATGCTGCGTGCGTGTCGCCAGTGCTGCTCGAAGTCTGCGGTGAGTCGAGACTGAGCTTGAATGCTGCGTGCGTGTCGCCAGTAGTCCATGTGTGCAGAGCTGCCACGCCGGAGATGTGTGACCCCAAGCGTTGATGATCCGGTCGTGGGCTGCGATGAACTGTTGCGGCGTGATGAGGCAGTGAAGTTGCGTGCCGTAGGACCAGGAAGCGCGGTGAGTCGGCTGCGATGGTCCTGTTGAGGCTGCGATGCTGGCTTGCTGTGGGACGACTGTCAATGACGTGCTTTNAAAAAAAAAACATCAAAAATCCATAAAATAATTTACCTTATGGGATATTCTCCGTAGGCCTTAGGTCTCTCCATCACAGATACCCATTTATCGTCGTAGCTGAAGAGACCTAAATCTAAATACGGAGATCCACTATACGACTGCGCGCTTATCGGTAATTGCGCTAAAATTCTTTTAGTTGCTTCAGTACGTCCTCCATATATCGCTCTAACTATAGTCTGTTTAAACCTTTGTTGTGTCAACCTGGCGTATAAATTATTCGATGGCGAGCAAGTGAACTGCGAATCTGCACACAGTCTCGCATTTCTAAAACAATCACAGTAGTTTTCGAAAAGTTGCAAAAGCGCTTCGGACGTGTTCTCGTATATTTCCAACACTTTACTCTGGCTTATGTTGTATATGACAAAGAATGATGACTGACTGTTGGGTTCAGCCACCCTAAGAGTCACAACCTCTTCGCTTGCGTATTTTATAAATAAATGATCTTCATCTAACAGTTGCATCTTCCACATTCTCAAACTTTTAAACATATCGAAGTACTTGTAAAACTTTCGTAACTCCAAAGGATCACCAGTCTCGTCGGTGATTTTTTTAGCTCTCTTAAACAAAAATACAAGTATCCTGTGTTTTAAACTATTAATTGTTTCTTCGTGAAATGGTTTCTCATTTATGGATTTGCCTATTATTGAACTGACTATAAACGGGTCATCGTCATAACAATACCGTCCAATTTTTCTAATTTCAATCAACATTCCTTCAACAATTTGATACAAATGTATTGTTTGATGTTGTACCGAGAGAACAGCAAGCACTTCTTTGTATAAATAAATACCTTGATTGTGCGATAGGTAAATTTTGTCGATTCTAAAATGTTTTGTATCACAAAGTTTCCCTTGATGTAGGTCAACTAAATGAAGTGAATAATCTTCCAAGGGGGACCTAGAATGTAATTTTTTTTAATGTTTTACAGAATATATAAACAAACAATTGTAAACATAACAGTTCAAAAACTCATAATCCCAGACCAGGTCATCATAGCAAAGCTCAACTGTAGCGTAAATAGTGAACATAACTATTTAACAACATACATATTAAAAATATTATTCATTTTGAAATGTTTAAACAAAAAAAGGATTGGACGGAATTTTTAAAAACACTATACGAACATTGGCTTGACGGTGGTGGCGATGTCTACGACCTAAGCTACCGTTGGGTAAAGTTCTAAGATAAGACAACTCTGCCATACCAGGCGGTTAACTCACTTTGTTAACGAAAGCTTCATGTTGTTGGGCGAAGCTTTTAAGTGAAGTTGAAACTGTGCACATACATATAAACTAGGTACCTAAACAATTATATTTCAATGGATATTCCACATATTGAAGTTGTCGTCCTGAATTCGTGAAGCCGGAATAGCTTTTTTTTTATGATTGAAGGATTACTGGTGGCCCGGAGGCCTTTCCAGTTTCACCAGGACAGGTGGGCGAGCAAAGGCTCAACCAGGAGGGGTGGGATTTGCTTACAGCTACCCGAGCGCCTCCGAAAGAGACCTAACAGCTCAAGAGCAGCTGCTTCGCGAATGAATCTACTACCGGATCAGAATCGCGACCCGCTGAGATGATTCGGCGAAAAACTCAGCGAGCTGATTCATGGGTTAGGTTGCACGGCGAACTCTTTGTCGAGTTCGATGAGTACGGTTACCGGGGTCCCTAAGCCTGCTCCTAGTGTTAGAGCTGAAGGCGTCTAATGCAAAGGTTATTGGATCTGATGGATCCGTAAGGACGTGACCCCGGAATAGCTTCTTAGGCTACCGAGGAATAGTTGGGGAAAAAAAGCTCGTCGTTGCCTAAAGTAGTATAATACGTTGGGTGTATTGATATCGAGCGATGCGACTGTACTGTAGCGGCAAACGTAGGGGCGTTCCAACTCCATACAAACTTGAGTTAACTTTTACGCGATCGAGAAGTTAAAAAACTCGCACTAAGCACACCGGTGTTTGAATCCCAATAACTTTCAAATGAAATACGTACTTAATGCATGTTCACGAATGATTTCCATGATTAAGGAAGAACACTATGTAATAAAAATCAAATGCGCAAAAATTTTAATTTGCGTATTTATTTGTGGTAAGGCGTCTAGTGAGCACGCACCACGTAAGTACCACCACCCTGCCTATTTCTGCCGTGAAGCAGTAATATGTTTCGGTATAAGGGTGAGGCAGCCATTGTATTTTAAAACTGAATTATAATTCAAGATGGGTCGCGACATTTAGGTTTTTGATGTCTATGGACTTTGGTTCCAGGTGAACTGTGAGCACGTTCACATATCTAAACAATATAAAAATAAAAAACAATAAATAATTGGATGAAATCTTTCAAATTTGTGATTACAAAATTATTTTAATTGCCCTTTAAAAACATGTGCAAGACCTATTGGAAAGCAGTTACATTCCCTCATGGCTTGCAATGCCATAGCCAAGACACTGCCTGCTAACAATTATTTAATGTATATAAATGTATGTACATTGTATTGATGTATGAATTCTTACATGATGACCCCAAATTTTTGGGTATATATTTTTCACCACCTGTATTCCACCGGTTTTGGCCTAGGGGAAGAAATCAACATTTATGATTTCAGCACAACTTATACATTGTTCTTTTTTTTTTGCTTATAATAATGAATTAAGCTTACTTCAATTTGCCATAACAAATTTATTCAAACCTTTATGATATGTTGCGCTTACTATGTTTTTAATTTAAAAAAATAATAATAGCTGTGCTATGATGCTGCGGGAGTATGAAAATTAAGTATCGGACTCTAAATAATATTACAGATTAAAAAATACCTTATTGTAGGCGTGACAGCTTCATTGTTACTGTGAATGTGATAAAAATGTGGTCTCAAGTCATCTGGAATATGTGCTGCAGATCCCACTATTACATATCTACCATCTTCGGTAAACAAGCTGCATTCTCTGTTGAGTTGTTGCTCCATCACAGGCATGTTACCAAGACGATCAGTTCTGATATCTCTTTGTTGACAAACATTCACTGTAAACTTGGGCTGTAAAGATAATTTTATTATTTTGATAGACATTTTCTTATCAATCCATCAAATCACATTATTGCAATCAATAAGGGTTGTCTCTTTCTTGGTACAGTTCAGTAAGAAAATTGTGGGTAACTATGTATCTATATCTGGCTGATAGAGGGATATATGCGCGAAACTGACAGCCACTGTTAGAGATTAAGACTACAATATAAATAAATTATCTTGAGATGGATATATTCTTCAATACAGATGTATTGTTTTAAAAGAGAGGTTGAGAAAGTAAGCCTATATAATTAATAATATATGAACACCTAAACAAATTAATAAAACATGACACAATATAAACATATCATACCTTAAAGAATCTATAAAATATATGTGTTCTAATTCTGTGATGAGCATCAGCATCTGCATTAAGCAAGTCAGTTGGATAACCAGCCACTAAGTCTCCTGCACTAGAAGCACCTCTGTATTCATAGATCTGAAATACAAATCTACTATTTGCTAAATTAAACAAAAAAACAACCAACAGCATTTACTCAAAGTTAATGTTTGTTTTTATTACACACTTAAATCATAAAACGTCAACATCATACATTAACATACCTCCAGAGAAGTTTGATCAGCTGAGAATGCTATGAAATGTTTACCATCTGGACTAAACTTCCTCAAAAAGCACGGAGGTTTCTCAACGTTTACGATAGTTAAATTTGGAAAAACATTCTGATAAAATTCACGAACAACGTGAAAATGCGATCCAGGTTTCCGTGATCCGTGTATTTCTCTTTCCATTAATCTTATGACGATATTTTGAGGTTTTATTTTTCGAGGTACAATTTTTTCTGTGCAAAAGAATTCCTTTTCGTCGATTGCTCCGGGTGGAGGGTCCTCATAATAAATAAATTTCGAACTACTCCCAGAAGCCATTGCAAAGGTACGATTTAATTTCTAAAAGTACTTTCTTATGTTATTTATGTACCTCTGTGTCTCAAATATAATAAGTGTATAATCTATGCCTCTGTGTCAATATGAGTAGTAGTGGTAAGGTTTTTCTCGAAGAGAAAGGCAATGAGACTAAGCCATACAGCCAATTCTTAAGTTTAATATTTTCATATATAAATTTTATGTTTCAAGGCAAAAAAGCCAATTCTTTAGTATTCTTCATTTCTAAATATTTTTCAAACCCGTGTAAATGTCTATTCAGATAAAAAAAAAATCCACTTTGTTTCGGTTGAGAGTTGTCGCAATCGTGTTTCTTGGAAAATCTGACTATAAAGTAAAAATTTGTGTTCTCCATTATAAGTAATGTATTTATATACTGCTCTAAAACTTGCAGTGCACTTAAGCAATTCTTGAAGAGAAGGCGGGATGCTATCCTTATAAACCTCTTGCAGTTTATCAATAAATAGGATGCGATGAATATTAAAAGCTGGACATGTGAAAAAAATATGATGTAAAGTTTGGTCTTCATTTAGGGAGCATTTATTACAATTTGGTGATGAAGTTATTTTCATTCGGTAAAGGTGAGCGTTAAATTTGCAATGACCAAATCTCAATCTACAAATCTGTGTGTAGAACTTCCTTTTACAGAAATATTTGCTCCTAGCGAACCAGGGTTTAATACCGATTTCATTCTTTATTTCAGCATACCATTTACCTTTGGTTTCATTTATATGCTGTCTGTTTTCGAGCCAATCTTTATTAATTTGTTGACGAATATCAGGAACTAGGTCTTGCCATGGAATTGAAATATTTTTAATCTAGCCACCCAAGTTATTTATTGATTTTGCAAAATTATCAACTTTTTCATTGCCCACCACTCCACAATGTGCTGGAGTCCATGTGAATTCAACAGCGATATTTTGGTTACGCAAATCCGTCCAAAGTTTTTTAATACAATAAAGTAGGAAACAATTTAAAAACAAAAAAATACTCTGCTTTTTATGGGATTTCATGACCTGGTAACTAAAACCTTTAGGTCAAGTCTTATTTTAATTTTAATGAAAACTTTTATAAATGAAAAATTTATACTTAATATTATAAAGCTGAAGAGTTTGTTTGTTTGAACTTGAACTTGAAATTTGAACTATTGGTCCGATTTGAAAAATTATTTCAGTGTTAGATAGCCCATTTATTGAGGAAGCTATATAACATCACTCTAAGATAAGAGCACCAATGAAGAATGTTTCAAAATCGGGGTTTTTTTTCCCTTTTGAGAGCTTCCACTGCGTGCGCTGTGGAAACGGTTAAAGTTTCACTAAAATAATAACCGCAACAGAGGAATAAGTATTTAATTTTAAAGAAATTTACCCACAGTTGATTTTAATGAGTACCTTCTATGAGTATTTTAAAGAGTACTAGCTGACCCGGCAGACTTCGTAGTGCCTCAATCGATAAATAAAAGACCTAAAGTTTTGTATAAAATAAATTTAAAACAAACAAAAGGAACCCGTCCAACGGGGAACACATAAAGTGAAAATCAAAATTGTTTGTTTTTATATAATTCCGAGCATTTTCATATTTATTCACCTTTTAAACCTTCTCTGGACTTCCACAAATAATTCAAGACCAAAATTAGCCAAATCGGTCCAGCCGTTCTCGAGTCCTCGAATGGAGGCCACGGATGGGTACAAGGAGCGTGGGGCGTCCTCCAACCAGGTGGACTGACGACTTAGTGCGCACGGCGGGAAGTCGTTGGATGCGGAAGGCGGAGGACCGCATTATGTGGAAGGCATTGGGGAAGGCCTATGTCCAACAGTGGGCAGATAAAGGCTGATGATGATGATGATGATGATGATGATGATGATGTTCTCGAGTTTTAGCGAGACTAACGAACAGCAATTCATTTTTATATATATATAATACAGAATACAGATATACAGATGAGAAGATACCACAGTTTTAAAATAAAATCACCGCAAAATAATGATCAAGCGCATAATATTGATGTACAAGGCAGCAGCCGACTGATGCGCGGCAGCGAAGAATAAGAACAATAACAAGAAACAGCCAAATCACTTCAAGATAGGGTTTGAAAATTATAGATTTTTGTGGATTTCTCCAGGATCCTATCATCAAGTCTTGATGATTACAGGGCAATTCGGGAAGTCTACCCTTGCGAACAAAAAATGGAAAAGAGAATTATCAGAATCGTTTCAAGGATTCTCGAGAAATCGGTGAACATACATAGATAAAAAATGGTGGTCGAATTGATAGACTCCTCTTTTGAAATCGGTTTTAAAAGCGTGATTTTGGAAGGTTACGATTTTGGTAGCTCCTTTAGAGAGAGAGAGAGAGAGAGAGAGAATACACTTTATTGCACACCAACACAATTTACATTTTAAAAAAAACAAACAGTCAAAAACACATATGTACAATAGGCGGTCTTATCGCTAAAAGCGATCTCTTCCAGACAACCGTTTAATTTACAGAAATTCTGTAAAATATAAAAAATATAGCAGGTATGTTGCGGTGTACCATATACAATACATTATTATAGAAAATATATACATATAATAAACAGATATATACCGTTTATATAATATAATATATACCAATATACATACTTACATACAATACATACTAATATACTTACACACACATAATAAATCAACAGTATGGAAATTATAAATGATAATGATGCAACAAACAGCACTAAGCAGATAAGTAGTGTTCCTTCACTATTCTTTTAAAACAGTTTAAAGTTGGAGCCCTTCTCACTGCATCCGGCAGAGCATTCCACAATCGAACCGCCTGGACGGTGAATGAATTGTCAAAAAATGATGATGAATGCACCGGCATTTTCAGTCTCAGGTTATCTGATGATCTCAGAGAAAAATTATGCGTATCACCTAGGAACTCGAAACGTTCTTTGAGATATGTAGGAGTATGGGGGTTAAAGAGAGTACAGTATAGTAATGAAAGGACATGAGTATTGCGGCGAAGGCGAATTGGTAACCACTTGAGCTTAGTGCGAAATTCAGATATACGATCATATTTCCGTAACCCAAATATGAATCTTATGCAGAAATTTTGTAGCCGCTCAAGTTTATCAAGTTGTGTTTCGGTTAGATCCGGATAGCTGGAATCAGCGTAGTCAAGAATTGGAAGAAGTAAAGACTGTGCAAGCGCAGTTTTAGTGGCAGTTGGAAGAAAATTTTTAGATTCTATTATTCAAAAATATTTTCACTTTATACGTAAATGAAGTCACGGGTAAAATTTTGCGTTATGCCAAAGTAACTAAACTATTCCACGCGGACGAAGTCACGGGCAAAAGCTAATGATATTATGAAATTAAATGAAGTTGATTAATGTGAAACATGGCATGAAACGCAACGAAACGAAACGAAATATGTCAGTAAAATGGTGGTCATTTACTGAGACTTTCTCAGTTGACCGACTTTTAGAGGATCCTGAGAAGTTACGTTCAGGGGCTTTGTTTCATTTTCCATTTTCACCTTTGTGCACATTCACAGATACTAAACAGTTAGTAAACCACCGTTATTACACATTTACACCTGCAGAAACNGACGAAAAAATATTAAAAATTGCAATCGAGGGGCTAACTTTTAGATATATTTTTAATATTTTTTTTAAAATAAATAAATGGGGAACAAACAATTATTAACAATGAACAATCAAGAACAAATGATGAACAAACGAATTAATAGAAAATAAGTAGAAAACAGGAAAAAAAAAAATTTTTGAGGGGCTAACTTCATTCACCTAGTGTTATTAGCATTCATTTTTTTAAATACGGTCACAGATTAGTATAATAGGTACTATGTAGTGTTACTACATATTAAAATGATGACTTTTAAATGTCCACCATTACTAAGATTATATTTCATCCCATAACATCTCATTTCATTTAACTTCATCCCAGTTGATTAATGTCTCAAATTAATCATCTTCATTTCATTTCACTCCATGTTATCTTTTATCATAAAAATAACAAAATAAATTAAAATAAGACATGACTTAAAGGTCTTAGTTACCGCGTCATAAAATCCTTTAAAAAAACTTATTAGAATTTATTTGTATTTAGTACGGTATCTAATTATATTTTTATGGTTATTTAAATTAATGGAAAGAAATTAAATAAACTGAAAATAATGACAACAGGATTTACAGCTCGCGTAGACAACATACGAAATACATTAATTGCCATAAGCAAGCGAAGAACTTTTAGATATGGTGTTCCGTTTATATTATTTGTTGTAGGAGGATCGTTTGGTTTGAGGGAATGGACACAAATTAGGTTTGTATTTCACAAAATCAAGCTTTCATTTTGGTTGATCAATTTCATCACACTACCACTTGTCACTGGATTTGTTTCAAGATAAGCATCATTAAGCATGATGAGTTGACTTATATAATCCGAATTGATGCCTTTGATATCCTTGACGGTTCATTATAGAGTCGTGATTTGTCTAATAATATTTATTATTTCACAAAATTACAGAAAGTTTCTATCTAAGAAGCTATCATGATGATTCAGTTAGATGTAGTTTAGAAAACTAAGTATATTTAGAGAAGTGAAATCCTGAATGCAGTGCTGTAAAAAATTAGATTACATGAAAATGAAATAGTGTGGGTGAATATCTACAGTTAATTCAACAATGATAAATCATGACACAAATGTACGAAAGCTTGCACAGTTTTAACAAGTGTTTTTGATATATTTAGTGCAACAGTTGTTGGTCACATTTCATCATTCTACCCTTTGCTTGTTATGTTTTATTTTATAACAGATCAAACTTTTTACAACTATCCTTTTATTATTTTTAGATATCAGTTTTCACAAGTAAAAGGTGTGAGTAAGGAAGAAGCAGAGAAAATGGGCCTTCACAGAGAAAAAACTGTTTCTTTGGATACTGCATATGAAGAAATACAAAAATTGGATATTGATAATTGGGAAAACAAACGAGGCCCTAGACCATGGGAAATAAATGAATCAAAAAAACTCAATTAACTATGCCTACCTTAAATACATTGTAGTTTTTTTAAAGTTTAGTATTTACATAGCAGTAAATTGTTTGAATAAAATCAAATAATCACTAATAAGTACCAATCTAATTCACCTCCGACACTACATGACGATCACAATCACTCTGTCGAGAGTGACACTATCGAGAAGAAGAATTCACCTTATTAAACTAATGTATTCAGGTTTTGAAAATATTGATAATCTGATTATTTTTATGAAATACAGCAGCCTTTTTCTAATGTTCCATTCTTAGGAAGTATGAAAGGGCTTAAATCTTATTGAATATTCTTGAACTTGAATGTATAAAAATGAAATGTAAAATAAATAGAAGTTTGAGATTTAAACATCTTGCACTCTCACTTGATGTCCAAAATGTGCAGGACCTAGGTATTTCAATCGTGAAACATAAAAACAGCAACTAAACAATTAGAGAATTGCATTCAAAAAGTGTTTCATAAAACTATTTAATATCAGTAGGTCATGGTGAAATCGAAATTCCTTAAGATAAACGATTATAATTAAGTTATTTAATTTTGTTACAGGAAGTGTGAAATGCTATGAAGGTAATAAAAAGCACATGGTACAATTCCGTAAACTAATTGTTTACTCAGTACAACTCCGTAAAACCAGTTTTAAAATGAAAAACTATTCAAAAGTAATTTCACAGGCACTTTTAAAACTTTGGCTTTATCACGGAATGCAGTTCATCACTGGGTAGAAGAAGCTGGGTCTGGATATTTTCCAAAAATATGTACAATAGGTACATAATTTAATAAATTATTGCGTTACACAAGCGCAAGCACATTACAACAAAAAGGATTTTGTTACATTTGCACTTATTCCATTCCATTATTCCATTTTGACCCCACACTTACTAGAGGGTTCTAGGCTAATGATTGCACACGATTGCTATATGGGCTAGAGATGCCTGTGTACAAAATATTATTAAATCTTTACCTATAATAAAAATACTCTGTTGGTAATTCGTCGTATTCAATCAAGCAAGGAGTCAAGCAATCTACAAGTAGCCATTTTTTCACTTTTGGTGGATTTAGCTGCTCCTAATACAGCACTCCCACCATAGATATTTTCCTTTGGAGTGCGATGTTGACGTCGATGGCACAGGTTGGCCAGGCTTGATGTACGGTATATTTTTCTTGGAATTATAGTAGTACGTACATATATCCATTTTTTAATATATATATATTTCAGTTGGTGATGACAATCTTCGAAATCAATTTAAGACTCGGTATTACCAAAAATTTTGTTATTCGTAGCATGCCAATAGCCCATTTAAATAAAAATGACAAAGTCTTAATATACAATTTACATCAACATAATATTTATAAGAAACTGAATTTGGCAAAATGGTTGCTATAAAAACTAAATACCGCTCGCGTCCAAAGCCTAAATCCAATTGTAATTACTAACATAGATCCAAACATTGATGAAGTAATTTGAAAATCGCAACTTCATACATCTCATTAAATGACAATTTTATTGATTTGTTATTGACTAATATGGGGGAATAATGGGAATAAATAATGCATGGTCATCCGACTCCAAATTAGGATTCCCTCTTGATGGGTACCTGAGACTGATATACATGCGTAAATACATTTTAATTTAAATATATATATATATATAAAGTTAATAAACAACAAGACAAAGAGCAATCAAACCTGTCAACACACGAATGTTTGCCCGATGTGAGAATCGGACCAGCGACCCTCGGCGCAGCAAACAGGGGCGCTAACCACTACACCACCGAGTGCTTTATAAAAAGAATTTTCTTAAAATTGTAAATAAAACTAATGTGTGTTAGAAATATTCATGTTTGTATTGATGAAAACGAATGATGCGCAACATATCGTATTACTGGTGGTAGGACCTCTTGTGAGTCCGCACGGGTCGGTACCACCACCCTGCCTATTTCTGCCGTGAAACAGTAATGGGTTTCGATTTGAAGGATGGGGCAGCCGTTGTAACTATACTGAGACCTTAGAACTTATATCTCAAGGTGTGTGGCGCATTTACGTTGTAGATGTCTATGGTCTCTAGTAACCACTTAACACCAGGTGGGCTGTAAACTCGTCCACACATCTAGGCAATAAAAAATTGTGTATATTTGTGTAGGGGTGGTAGCCAAATATTTTGTCTAACGAAGGGGTCATTGTCGAAAAAAGTATCAGGCGTGCAGGGTTAGTAGAAGGTTATTGAAAATATATTAAGTGTATAATCTATGGTTATTGATTTTTTTCAAATAAATGGCAGCTTAAAATACCATATAATTGTTTTGTTTTTTTATTTATCCCGCAATGATTCTGACGATAATAGAAAGTCTAACTAGTACTGTTAATTATGTATTAAAGTACTACATTCAGGGCTAGAAAAATATTGACTACCTACTTTTAAATTCACATGTTCAGTACAACATAAGGGTGAGTGGGCTAAAATTTGACACTAGGCCTTAACGGCCTTAATGACTAAAGTTAATAGTCTAATTAAACTTAGTTCAAAACGACATGTAACATTAATGAGCAATGTTGCTGTCGCCCAATTTGACTAATCAGGTCGAATTCACAATTGCAATAGAGACACCCCCTATCCAGACCACTTAAATGGGAACGCAGGTTGCCTAGGAAAAATAATATTGACCGTGAGGCTTCATGTGGTAGTATTTTCCTTACAAGGCTTAAAAATACAACGAATACCAACACTTTAAGGTTCTCAAGTTAGGAAATGGGGAACAGCTAGGTTAGATAAGTGTATAATATTAAATCCATCAAATTCTTAATAGACATACCATATACAGATATGTACTTTCAAATGTAATCAAAGAATCGTTTGTTTTGGTTTTTTTACATTACATTTCGATATCATGATAATAAACTAAAGACCTAAATGGAAATGTTGACCTACAATGTACATTTTAAGATAATATTAGATTAAATTCTACCTAAAATCATTAGTAACCGTTTGTTTAAGTATTGTTCGCAGCTGTAGGTATTTTACTGAAATAATGATATTTTAAAATACGTAGGTATGTATCAAAAGCTTAAAATAAAGTGCAATTTGCAAAAAGTAACCTGTAAACTGAAATGTGCTCGTCATTCTTTTGTTGATTCCAAAATTTGCTGATTTGTGATAAAATTTATTGTATTTATTAGGTAAATATGTATGTTTGTGATTCTTCTAAGTACATTTATAATTTTGAGAATACGTCACAAAGAAATCGTTTCTGAGAATCAATGCTGATTTGGGTTGAGCAATAAAGTACGAGTGCCTTCTAGAAAAGTACAGCTATTTCTCTTTATCTTTGAAATTAAAGAGAAACAACTATATAGCTCGGTAAACTTCGTAAAGCTTCGGATGTTGTTCGGTTCGTTTCGGTTTATTGATTTGCTGCGGAATAGCCACGTATAAAAGGTTTGTCCTCGTTTCGCTGACGCATTAAAAGACCAGCGGATTGCAACGTGATAGACAAGCTTATAGTTAAAATAAGGTGTTTTTCTACTCCATTTTGTTTTATATAAAAAACAAAGCTCATAATCTTCGCTAGAAGTAATAGTGTTCTGTGCTCATAATTGTTCGACATACAACTGACAAAGCGAAATTATTGTATCTTCTAGGTGAGTACATTAATTTTCAAGTACATACATATAATTTTCATCAGGAGAACGCCATGTTTGTCTTTAACAAATTAAAATTTTTCTTGCTTTATCTTATCGATCCGTGTTTTTCATTTGCTTTTTGCTCAACATTTTGCAGAATATAAGTAATTATTACGTATGTGACGAAATGATGAGTCTAGTTGAAAATGCACAATAATTATGGTTTCATTGTTATGTTCTACAATATTTCAACAATTAAAACGTAATTAGGTCATAGCGTAAGCCTGCTGAGTTTTTCGCCAGATCTTCTCAGCTGGTCGCATATCCAGTGCGTAGGTTCATTCGTGACGCATCTGCCTATGTGCTATCAGGGTACCCTAAAAGGCTCGCTTAGCACTTAATAATCGATCCCCCTGCAAATTCAGCCATCGAGGACGTCCACGCGTCCTGATGGGATTACAAAGCACTCTCCACACCATACCACTCATAATAGCTTCATACAAAATTTAAAAAATATATATACTTACCTATTGAGACCTGAATCGAGAGACACCTACTCTAATTTTTAATAACAAAAATTTGTGTATATATATATTTACTTGTAATTAAACAGTCATTCTTTTTAGTTTGAAATGTGGTGCAGCTGTATTAGATTGCAATATTCACATTGTAATGTTTATGCGACCCTGTAACCACTTTGATACTTGGTGATCTCATCTGCCCATCTGCAACAATAAACCTCTATTTAAAAAGGAGATAAAATAAAATTCATAAATTTTTCATTGTTTACAGATCATCATGCAAATCTTTGTGAAGACTCTAACTGGCAAGACCATTACATTAGAAGTGGAGCCTTCTGACACAATTGAGAATGTGAAGGCGAAGATCCAAGACAAAGAAGGAATTCCTCCTGATCAACAGCGTCTCATCTTTGCTGGCAAGCAGCTGGAAGACGGACGCACCTTGTCAGACTACAACATTCAAAAAGAATCCACACTTCATCTTGTACTGCGTCTTCGTGGAGGCATGCAGATCTTCGTGAAAACTCTGACCGGAAAGACCATCACTTTGGAAGTAGAAGCTTCGGACACAATTGAGAATGTGAAGGCGAAGATCCAAGACAAAGAAGGAATTCCTCCTGATCAACAGCGTCTCATCTTTGCTGGCAAGCAGCTGGAAGACGGACGCACNTTATATATATATGAGTACTTAATAGGGATATTCCACATCCGGGACAAAAAATTAACATCAAGCAATCGTTGAGCTATACCCTAATTGAAATAATTCAAGATAAATAAGCATTTTCAATTCCCTTCAGTCATACACTTATATATTGAACTCGGGCACTTAATACAAGCGTATAAATTAACCTTATTTATCGGAGTACATGCTGAATAGCACACGAAATTCACTGTAATAGGCGACAGTCCAACAAATGCTCGTTCAATTTGCGCGTGAACAAAACAATGTATTGTGTTGTTAGTCACTAAATAGACTAGGTTAGCTGTTAACATGAATATAAAGATTAAAGAACAATAAATTCGAGCGCATAGTGTTTATTGTTTAATTAAAGTCTCCTAGACTGTTTAGTGACAAGCCATTATACCGGAATAAATATAATTGAAATTTATTTTATTTTATTTATTTATTATTAACATAGAAATAGAAACACAAGCATAATTTGCATCTGTGCTTGAACTAGGTGATAAAACCTGTATCTCAAGCAACAGCGCTCCTCGTACAAAGAATACAACAGCTTTACTTCAGAATATACACAAAAATAGAAAGTTAATAGACAAGAATTAAACTGAAATTTATGGATTGCATAAAAGTGACAATATGTGAGCTGAAAAAAAAATACCAATTAACAAAAAAGATTGAAATGAATGTATTAATGTACCCTCTGTGTGTAATAAGTCTGAGCATGAGTGAGTGTAAGAGGGTGTGTGTGGGTGTAGTCAAAAACATTAAAAGTTATTTAACAAAATTTCAGTGCCCTCATTGATGTGAAATTAAGCAACTAATTAACTATAGAAGTTCTGCATTTCTTACTGTTTGGGGGATATATATTAAGGTGTTTATTAATTATATTATAAAGAGTAGAACCTATATATAAATGAGTTGAAATTATTTAAATTGGATAATTCTGCCGTGAAGCAGTAGTGCGTTAGTGGATGAAGGATGGGGCAGCGGTTTTCCTTAAAAGGCTGAGACTTAGAACTCATGTCTTAAAATGGGTGGCGACATTTACGCTGTGGACGTATATGGGTTCCGGTAACTACTTAATCCTGGCCCGTAGACTTGAACAACGTAAATGCAGTCACCCACCTTGTGCATGAGTCTCAGTTTTTATACTACAACGACCGCCTTACCCTTCAAACCGAAACGCATTACTGCTTTACGGCAGAACTAGGGAGAGTAGTGGTTGTTATGTGGTTACGGAACCCATGACATCTACAACGTAAATGCCGCCACCCACCTTGAGATATCAGTTCTAAAGCCTCAGTATAGTAACAACGGCTGCGCCGCTCTTCAAACCGAAACGCATTACTGCTTTACTTCAGAACTAGGGAGAGTAGTGGTACCTACCCGTGCAGCACATCACGCCCTACCACCGGTGATTATGCAAACTATCATATTTTTCGGGCTTATATTACACGATGTTATTCCTTCATCGTGGAAGTCGTTCGTGAGCATTAGTTAACTGCTTGTCTGAGACCTGCCTGCGGGCTTCGAACACCGGCACAGTCGTATCGCTTTATACAAATACATCAAGTATCTTGTGCTTGAGGCCACGGAGACTTCGAGTCTCCAAGTATCCAGTAGAACTTAAGTAATTATTTAGAACAACTGTTAGTATTTGTTTTTTTTCTAACTAGTGAAGGAAGCCTAAGGGGCTATTCCAGTTACACCCGGACGGGGGAATTTGGACCAGACTTATCAATATACTTGTTCACGCAAAATACCAACTTGTATATTTCTGCCGTGAAGGATGGGAGCGCCATAAGATGGGTAGGAAGGATGGGACACCACCATTGAGAATTCGAACTCATGTCTCGATCTCATGGGATTCATGATTGTGAATAAACCGTTTTTTCAAAATGAAAAATATAATTATTGTATCTTCAAATTTAATGTATATTGGTAAATGCTTAACACTAGTTGAAATATGTTGACGAAAATAGTATGCCTTATAACCAAGCCCTATATACCAAAAACAAAAATACGAAAACTTAACGTACATTCTCGACTTTGTAGCAAACAAGCAAAATACGTAGTAGCAGATAATAATAAAATTTTATTAATCCGCTCCATACTGTCCTTGTAGCATGGAACATGACTGTTAGGCCTAATAGCTAGATCGATACTGTAAATATTAAATAGAATTTGTAGTAAAATAACAATGAAAATCTAAGTAGAGCTGTACAATGATAAGCTGAAACTTTTATATAATATTGTTGTCAAGTGTCGTTAAAAAGCCATAAATAAATTAAAAAGCTATTTCTGCGGCAAAATAGCTAAGCGTTTTTAAGTTAAATGTGATAAACCTGCTATAGAATTCAATTGGGATTTCAACATTCCTCAATGTGGATTACTGTATTCGTGTTATTGCAATGAAATTGATCAACATAAATAAATCAAAAAATATCTAATTGCCTTATTATTAAACCAGTCTTCGATAGGGATGTACGAGTTTAGTTCACTGTCTTTTCATCTGATTTCCCTCGGCAGAAAACTATCCAAACTCAAATCAAATGCTCTAGTTTTAGCGTAAGCCAAACACTTCACAGCTTCTCCGATATTCAGCAAGTTTTAGAGTTCTTACATTCCACGAACTTATTGCTATCGCAAATAGTCCTAAGCTTTTAAAAAATAAAGATTTTTTGTAATACTCTGATCCTTCTATGTCTCAAGACAACCATCGTGTAACTTACATAAAGAAGTGTATACTCTGCACGACATTACAAGATTATAATCGTTTTTATTTGTGAATGGTACATGAAAAAAGCACGTCATAATTTAAATTTGGTCAATTAAATTCATAAAAAGAACAATTCCGTTTAAAAAATCTCAAGAAGGTTCCCAACTCGGAGACAGGAGATGGGAATGTAGCAAAGAACTGAATTCACGGAAAGAAGAGAAACAAATTATACCAAAGATTAAACATTGCCAAATCTTTCTCTGTAATATAGCAATGCAGAGTAATCCTATCAAAACGATAAGGTACGTTGCTGTATTCAGTCTGAAAAGAATTTTATCTCACTTAAAAACAAATAAATAAACGAGTAATGACTTAAAAGATGCACAAAGAATAAATGAATACTAAAATAAACAAGCACTCGGCACCTTTCAACACCTGACAGACCGATTACTGTGATCTATGTGTACGGTGGGTACTTGAAGATATTTTACGATAAATTGCCTGCACAATATTACAGTTGCATTAAAATTTTTGTACCCGCGAACTCTCTTCCGAATAGTTAAGTTTGGTAAGTAAGATTTGCCCTTTTGATTGAGCATATACTATCCTACGGATAACCTACAATGAGAACGTATGATTTCTGCATATAATTCTTATGGTATAAAATTTGGTTGCCATTCTATTTTGAATAGATAGACTTTGGAATATCAACTTCAGAATTCAACCAAAGCCAGATATTTCCTGCTTTCTGAATGATCACAGATCAATTTAATTGAAAAGGAACCAATAATGGTAAAAAGCGGCAAAATTATAGGAACTATTATATTGAACTACATGAAAACAGGAATTTTACTGCTAAGGTTCTGCTCAACATTGTTAAACAAATAAGATTATTTGAAAAAAAAAAAAAGTTAACTGAACTACATCATACAACAATACACTTCTGTCAATCACCGGGTAGTGTGCTCAGCACTCACCAACTGACACGTAATTAAATAATGCTTCGAGTGTTAACACTAAATTCAATATCTCCGAGCCGGCCCTTCAGACCTACGAGGCTTATGATTTTGAAGATACCTTGAATTTTCGATTCAACACGTTTATATCAATTGGATTTTTTTGGAACGAGTTCCTTATGTGACAATGCGGAGGGTTACCCTAGCCGGGAAAAAAACGTCCGTAACGTAAGATTTTTATTAGTAATGCACACAGTGTTCGACTTAGCTTTGTAATAACGTACAAAAAATAACATGTTTTTATTATATATATTTTTATAAATTATTGTGAATAAAATAAAGTTGATAACTTTGTAAAGTAGTTTTTTTTTATCAATAAAAAAATCATAATAATAAATGTATACCCGAATAATTATTTTCTTTATACCTCGAATAGAACTTAAAATTAATATTTTTTATAATAAGGAACTTCGTTCCTATCCCACGACACCACACTTTTTTTTTTAAAGTAATCATATCTATCAAAGAATAATCCGTTAATAGAATTACAATTTCCAGCAATGATTTTTTATACAACAGATATGTTATCTTCATAATAACTGACTCTTCAAATCTGATCGCGCCATATATATCTACATACCTACCGATATAGTGAACACACATGTTGACAAGTAGCATTAATGAAAAGTACAAAAGATGGGATAAGCGCGTGAGTAAAAAAGATAGACGATTGCACTTGTTATATTATTATTGTATTTGTTTAGACGCGACTAAAGACGAAACGTCCCAATTGGCCTGTTTACGAGTCTTCACTTGACGTGCGCTTGAAACAAATCTGCTTCTTTTTACGTAATATAAAATATCATTGATTTCCAGACAATTTATTTGACAATGAAGAACTGCTATCAATATCACACAACACATGATTTTGATAATAATTGTGTAAATTTAACTTTCGTTTTAACTTTATTCGAGTTTAAACGTTCTTTTTTTTGGTTCTCTTAGGGTCAATTCCCACTGAAAGAGCAGCGGCGCGCAGCGGCCGTAAGAGCAAGTGACTGAGCGCGGCGCCGCGGCATCCCGAGGCGCCGCAATGAGCCTCCGCGTGGTAGCTTTGAAAACTAGTGTGCGATCTACTTCACTCAAGGAAAGTTGTGTGGCAATAAATATGGTGGATTTGGATTTATGTATCATAGCACTGGCTGTAGAAGAAGAACAAGATACCCTCTAATAAAATGACGCGAAATGCGCAAGCGGCAGGGCGGGCGGGTATGAAATGGTCGCTCGCGNGAACAAGATACCCTCTAATAAAATGACGCGAAATGCGCAAGCGGCAGGGCGGGCGGGTATGAAATGGTCGCTCGCGCGCAGCCGCGAGTCTGTCA